GGGGGGGGAAGGGGGGGCGATTCCCCAAAAAATCGGAATTCCGATTTTAATCGGAAGAATATCATGTCTGAGTCAAGCTTTTTCTTCAATTTGTGATTAATTGCTGTCACCCTCTTGTTCAAATGCAGGACACTGTGGTTAATCTTAATTATGATTTATTTCTAACCAATCTACTCTAAAAGAGGTATGTTTCAATTAAACCAGTTAATCTAAATTGCACATGTTATTTGAATTTTAAATTGTAGTTAATTTTAAACAGCTTCCTGGAATCATTGCACTTTTAAAGAATTCCACTCAACTATGCGTTCATCAGATATGCAATCTTATCAGACTGGTACATACAGTCCATCTTCCCTTAAGCTCTCAGAGCAGAGAAATGTGGATTTTATATTAGGTTTTCCTCATGTTTAGGGTTTTACGCAACCTCCATGCCATCTTTTGTGATGGTGGAATTTTCTCTTATTTTTATGCAAATTTATATCCTGTGTGCTTTATCCAATTGGGATCTATCAGACAGAGGTAGACAGATATTATTCTGCTGGGCTTACATACCTGGCTATTTACATCTGGCGACTCTAAGAAAGGATGAAACAAATCATATGGTGTTCCTTGGTGGCCAATCTCATTCTTTGAAATACCTTGGAAAGTATCACTGGCAATCTTCATGTAAGAAATATTGACCTGAACGTTCAAATACATCCTAAAAATGCTTCCAACTCCCTTTGTTCCAGACAGCCTTTCTTGTGAACAACACACCTACCCGCAACGCAGTTGCAAAGCTGTTCTTCAGGTTGGTCGCAATGCTCATCAGCAAGGGCTCCCTGCAGGTAATCATGGCCATGCCAGCCGTCAGGTTCCGCATCATGTGATGTGCTGCCACACGCATGCGCGACTCTTCTGAGTCCAGCGCAAAATCCTTCCTCACTATTTGTTCACAAGTAGTCATGGCAATTTTAATCGAGCGGTCCACTACTGGATGAACCAGTTCTTGAACTGCACGCTCTATGGCTTGGCGCACACACTGCTTTAACTGTGGATGGGCTTGGAACAAGGGAATCTGAAAAGAGAGCAGCCATTACAATCCATCTTGTCTAGTTTTCACACCAATACAAACAAGTAACACCCACCCCAGCCAGCGCACAGGAGAGCTGATACTTACAGTCGGGTTTAGAGTAATGTGTGGAGCCAGCCCTCCCAGGGAGTATACGTTGATATCATGGTAACTGTACTGTGGCTGTGGAGGAACAGTAGCTGTGCATGTGGTACTGGTAGCTGAAGTTGTAGAAGTAGCTAAAAAATTCAAGAGCATAAGATTTTTTTTAATTAAACTTACATTCAGAAACATAGCCGATGTATTACTGGAAATAAAATGCTTCATTAGAATAACAGAGAAGTCAAGTAAGTGTAAAGGAAAACATTGCTCTGCTAAATTTTACAATTGCATTAGTAAGTATTCTAAAATTATAATCATTTGGCATACCTCCTACACTGAGTAGAAGTCCAAATAAAAGCTATATTGGGACAATTAGCATTGGCAATGACAATGGATGGGTTGTCAATAAACTATGCATGCTTCATAACCACCACCAGAGATGCTTCTTATAAACATTTACCGTATATGCCGGCGTATAAGACGACCCGGCGTATAAGACGACCCCCCAACATTTCCACTCAAAATATAGTTTGTTATATACTC